CCCTGAGACTTTGCATAAAGATGTGGTATTGTGCCATTTTAAATATTTAACAGCTCTAAGACCTGCAATATTTTCTCTTTGTGTAAGAGGCCTTATTAATGTTTTCTGTTTTGAAGTTTCAGAATAATTTTATCACAGCTATGTTGACCTTGAAGTCTTAAATATGCATAAAGCTGCTAGTCATAAGGATGCTTTTCTGTAGTCTCAACACTATAAAAGGTTGCTAGATAACTTTATAACAAGTGAGAAGATATACAGAGTCTTTGGTGTTTAAGACTTTTATAGATGGATGAAGACTTTAATTTAGCAGTTTACCATCTGTTACTGAAATTAGCCCTGTTGGTAGTTAAGCTTCTTCCTTTGGAATGAGGAGGTAACCTCTGCATTTCCTTTTTAGGTTGGTTACAGAATAGTAATTGTTATGTTAGTGTATCTCTGTGGTTAACGCTGCAGTCTCGACTCTTTAAACCAGCCCTTTCACCAAAAGGAGCAGTCTGTTCTCCCATCCTTCTGACAGCATGTGTTTGCACCCTCCCTTTTGTTGGCATGGCTGTTTGTGCGGACATGTGGTGAACTGCATCAGGAACTCCTCTCTTGCATGATTTTTTTTCTTTTTTTTTTCTGCCAGATCAGCCACATGGAATGTTTCACCATGAGGTCGAGAGACAGCTATACAGGCAAAAGTGAAGGTTGCATAATAGGCTGAAGTGGAGAGGCAGAACAGCTTTTTTCTTCCTTTCCCCAGTGGCCGCTCATTTATCAGCTTAAAATGTTCAGGCTTTGCAAGGTGTTGGGAATTCTCTAAGCTCCCTTTGTTCTAATGGATTTTATGAATTTCACCAGGTGATTTCACAGCTGATATTAAAGGACTGTGTAGAGCAGAAGACCATGTTAGATACTGTCAAAGTGTATTCAATTGTAACATCTTGCTAAAGACTACTGTATTTAACTTGTGGGTTAATATGCAGAATTTTTTACTTATTGAAGGTAACTGTAGAGCAGCAATATTGAATATGAAATAAGAAAATGGGGGTGTCAGGAAATTGAGCCTGCAGACCGCTGAACTACTAAGCAAAGCAAATTTGGCTGAAGATGTGGAGCTTGAATTTCTTCCTTGAGCTAGTTTGTGCTGACTTTGCAAACAAGCTGCTTTCTTGAATTCTAGTGGCCTTCATACAGTAGCCTTAAAATTTCCATGTTTTGTACATGCTAGATCCTGATTTGTTCTTAACTTTTTTTAGCCACATCCCTTGGCACGCAATGTGAAATTTGTGGTGATTAACTACTGCTACAGTACAGGGAATGGAATTGCAATTATTTTTCCAAGCAAAGAATATAGTACTCCTTTCCAAAAAGCAATGAAGAAGCTGTAAAAATTGTCTAATCCCATGCAACAACTTCTTCCTTCACTACTGGAGCGGTCTTTGTCAGACAGGTGAAGCTCAGCTCAGCTGTAGTGGCTCTGCTATGTAAGAAATAATGTTTGGGGTTGGTGTTTTGTTTTTTTTTTTTTTGCAAATACTTGCACACATGAGTTTTCTGATCGTAGTTATTTGCCAATATGCCACCAACTGATCCTGCCTTAGTCTGCTGATAGCAAGTAAGCCTTCTGAATTAGCTTTTTGTTTTCCAAAAATGTAGTGTACAGAAATATTTTTTTTTAGTTGTTTTGACTGAGGCCTTGTCAGCTTGAGGCTTCTATAAACACTTCTGCAAGGCTGGAAATGATTAAAACAGTAGTGTATTTCTAATGGATTTCTTCTTTGTATGCTTTTTCATATATCTGTATGCTCTAACAATTTATTTCTGTGCATGTTTGTATGGAAGCATCTTCTGGGTTGTTCAGATCACTCCTTAAAGCAGGGCTCTGTCTTGTTCTGGGTGTATGAACCAGGAGCATCCTGGTGGTTATGTCCGCTTTTCAGTAACTTTTCCTTGCACTGAAGGCAGGATAACCAAGCAAAAGCTCAAAGAATGAAACATACCTCCCCCTGTAAATGGATCTCTCGTGTTTGTGTGGCTTCTCTTGGTCTTGGCAACCCGAAACCCCCTCACCACTACCTCTTGCTCTGTCAGACTCTTCTAAAGATGACAGCGTGCTCTTTTCCTGAGGCATCTCGTCCTCTCAGGTTATCGTAAAAACAGGTTGAGGGTTTCTCCCCCCTCAGGTACAATTAGTTTTCAATTTAATGTCTTCATAGAAGAATAGCTATGCAGAATGTCAACTACACCATCTGTCCCATCCGTATCATCTGTCACTCTACTTCAGGCCACCTGTGTTAATAAGAAAAGCTTTGCTTTTGCTTGTCAAAACACCTTCAATGCTTCTGTGTTTTTTAAACACTTAATTAAAAATAACAAACATAAAGTTGTGGGGGGTATAACCAGTTGTGAATGACAGTATTGTGTGGTTTGTGGTTTTTTTAAAGCGCTGATTGGCATGTATCTGCATTTTGGTTTATTAATCTTTTTTAGTCAATGGGAATCATGACATGAACTTGGAATTCTAAAAAGTGGAGTAAAAGCAGGAGTGAGAAGAGATCTCAATCTAAAAACATTGCAGAGTACAACAAATAGAAAAAAGTGCCTATGGCAGCATGGAATACTTCATTAAATGCTTTAGAGCTCAAAATTATGGTGGTTTGACCCTGGCTGGATGCCAGGGGCCCACCAAAGCCGTTCCATCACTCCCCTTAACCAGATAGAGGAGAGAAAAGTAAATCAAAAGGCTCGTGGGTCGAGGTAAGGACAGGGAGAGATCATTTTATCAGTTACCATCACGGGCAAAACAGACTCAACTTGAAAATAATTAATTTATTATCAATCAAAATCAGAGAAGGAGAGGGGAAAAACTGCTAGATCTTAAGAACCTTCCCCCCACCCCTCCCTTCTTTGTGGGCTCAACTTCACTCCCAGCTTCTCTACCTATTTGCCCCAGCAGCACAGGGGGATGGGAATGGGGGTTGAGGTCAGTTCATCACACGTAGTCTCTGCCGCTTCTTCTTCCTAGGGAGAGGACTTTTCCCCTGCTCCAGTATGGGGTCCCTGTCATGGCAGACAGTCCTCCATGAACTTCTCCAATGTGAGTCCTTCCCATGGGCTACAGTTCTTCACGAACTGCTCCAGCATGGGTCCATAACTTCCATGGGGTGCGGTCCCTCAGGAGCAGACTGCTCCAGCGCTGGGTCCCCTGCGGGGTCACAAGTGGTGGAGATCTGCTCCAGCGTGGGCCTCCATGTGCGGCAGGGGGACAGCCTGCCTCACCATGGTCTTCACCATGGGCTGCGGGGGAATCTCTGCTCCAGTGCCTGGAGCTCCTCCTCCCCCTCCTTCTTCACTGACCTTGGTGTCTGCAGGGCTGTTTTCTCTCGCATCCTCTCACTTCTCTTCTTTCTCTGGCTACTGAGGCGCAGCCATTTTTTTTTTCCTTCTTAAATATGCTATCACAGAGGCGCTTCCACTGCCGCTGATTGGATTGGCTTGGCCTTGGCCAGCGGCGGACACAGGGAAAACTTCTAGCAGCTTCTCACAGAAGCCACCCCTGTAGCCCCCCCACTACCAAGGCCTTGCCACAGAAACCCAATACAAAAATACATCCTGAAACCTCTTCTGTAAAACTCTCTTCAGTATACTAGAGGAGAGCTAATAAGAAACACTTAAGTGCTATGCTGGAACACTTATTTGATGGAAATTTGTATTCCTATGAGGACAGAATTCGCTGCTCTATTGTAATAACATTTATTGTGAGCAGCAGAACTGCAAAACCTGGTTTTCTGTAAGTTTGTCCTTTTTCGTCTTTAGCATGTTAATATTTGGGTGCCCTAGCTCTTTTTATCCTTACTGGCATTTTTTTTTTTTTTGCCAGGCAAGAATACGTACTTGGTTGGAATAAACTTGCCAAACAGCATGTAATATCAGAGTTCTTTCTCTTTGGTAGCACCAAGCTTGGTTTCTCTCTTAGCCACTGACAGCTTACAAAATGTACAGAGAAGCTGAAATTGAGCAAAGGGTTCAAAGGCAGTTTTGGGGAGGAAGGGGGAAGTAACAGATTGGACAAAACTTACTTCCTCAGCTAAAAAACTGTTAGAAGGATTTTTGCCTAAAAAGATACTGAAAAGTGAAGTATTGCGTGTCCGTGATCTTCCTGATTAGTTAAAAAAAGGTGTGAAGTTAAAAGTTTATTTAGAAGTGATTTATTTAGTTATTTAAACATGTTTGAGAGGCTTTTTCATTGGGTAACCATCCTCTGGGGAAAGTAATACAAAATTTCAAAATAAGAGCAACATGTCGTTAAACATTGTTTGTTGATTGAGTCCACATCCCGTGACTCTGTTGTGGGTGACCTACAGTGTGGGGTTGGGGGTTTTTTTTGGTAATGTACACTTAAAAAAAATAAAATCTTTAAGCAGCTTGCTTTCCTGACCTGGTGCATAGTGTTCCCCTGTGTACTGACAACTCTCTCAAATATAACTTATTTCTCCAAGTCTTATGGCAAATCAAATTAATTTTAGCATCAGCATGTCTTTAACTGGCCATCTTACTGTAAAATGTGGAAGTCATGTCCCTGCTATCACCTTAGAACTGGACCTACTTGTATGTTTAAGCATTTTATGTGCTTAGTCCTTAAAATGTTAACTGTTTGATTAAATTCTCCCTTTCTGTTCCTTTTCCATGTTTCCCCCCAAAATATATTGAAGGTATTATAAATTTCTTCGTAACTGAAGGGCAAAAGCCTTGTTTACTGTCAGAATTCAGCAGGTGGTGTTGGTGTATTTAAGTACAAACATTTCACATCCTTTTAATAGATGGCATTTTTCTTGTGTTTTTCCTAGCCCAACAAGCTTGTCTGTGTTGCACTGTTTTACAAAGATGCCTCTTCTGAACTGAAGATGCTTCTTGGCTTTTGCATAAACCGCCAGTGATGTATGTTCACAGGAGTCGCGACCTATCGTTTTGTGTGTGTCGGAGAAGTTTAGCCTGGTGCTTGCTCTCTTGGCACGATGGCTGCATTGCAGCCTGGCGAGTATGAAAGATGAGCACCCACCAATTTCCTCACAGATTTCTTGCAAGTTTTCCTCCCCAGCTCTGTCTGAAAGCAGCTTCAGTTACGCTGATAACGGCGGAGCTCTACGCGCAGCGCAGGAAGTGAGACGTACTCACTTAAAGCATTTTCCATCTAATATTCACGTTCCACAGGGGGCCCGTATGGGTTCTGAGTAGCCTCAGCACTTAGTGTAGCTGTATGCAGCATAAATGCTTTTCTTTGCACTCCCCTCTTCTGTGGTGTTTCATAGCAAGATAACTGTGGCTGCTTAATAGAGAGGCATAAAGGGCTGTCTGAACGTGGTGACGTGTGAGCAGTGGTATAGCCCCTTCAGTATAATGCGGTACCTCGATTAAAAGAACAGTTTTTCTCATACGTGGGCGCTCTCATTGTTTATTGACAAATGGTTTCTAGTGGCAGAATGTGCTGCTCGCAGCCAGGCGTTGCTCCCCCAGTTAGGCTGGCAGGTAGAAGTGCTGATGCTGCTGCCAGAGAACTGCTGATTCTGGGTTATTTTAAGCCAGGATTGGCTGCCCGGTGTGGTTACAGTCAGCATACTGGCATAACTAGGGAGCCAGTCTGGGGACCAGAACGACTGAGTGGGGGCTAGGGATTGCTGAGATCAGCCAGCTATTAAAATGTGTTACCCTTTTTATTTAAGACTCTTTTTTTCTTTTAAATTTGAGCATGCCTATAAGAACCAAACCCATGATCTGCCTGCTATCTGGCGAAGTCCAGGTGGTAGCAGCTGTGAAGCTTAAAAATTGGGTCTTTGTTAAGTTCTTCCTTTTTTAATTTCAAGTTGGCTTGCTATATTAGTCTGTATTTGGCATAAGACACTGTTTTCCTCTGCCAAAACTGTCTAACTGTAATAAGCATATGACCCCTAATAGGTGGAAATCCAGATTCTCGCTTACCTGCGGCAGCACTTGCACTGAAACCTTGCTGAAAGAAATGGAGAATGTTTTATGTGTTTGCAGGGATAATATATAGTTTCTTACTGACTTTCATACCACTGAACTAAAGCTTTAGGCATTCACTATAACTGCTTTTCTACAGAATTACTGTACAAGTAAATACCAGCAGAACAGAAATTCTGAGTAAGTTATAAATTTATATGTGTGTAATTTATAAAAAATATACTTGCAGAAATGAGTGCAGACAGCACTAAGCTTGGGTGACCTTTCAGTAAGGTGTGTGAGTGGCATTGGCTACTAATGCCTATGCAGACAAGTAGGCAATATGTAGTCACAACAAGGAATTAGACCAGATAAATTTATTTTTATGTTCGTGTATGTACATAGTAATAACTTCAATATTATGATTTGTAGGACCTTGACAATTTTAAGATGAATAACTGGATTTTGGCATTAATTACTGTGACTTCATGTCTTTATATTATGTATTTGATTTTTTTTTTTGCCAGAGAGGTGTTATTTAACTACATCAAGACAGCCGTATCACTTAAATGCTGTGTGAATTTATTTCTACACAATGCCAGTATTGTAACAGTCCAGTTATGTTTGAAGAACGTATTAAGCCAAGTAGAGGTAATTTGTCTATTTCGTGCTTGTATTATTGCTATTGAAGGCACACAGAATAAATATGCTATAAAACTTGAATAATACATTAATATTACACCTACAAGTTACCGTTTTTCTTCAGTAGAAACGGGATAATTTTTCTTTGCGAAAGCCAACACAAAGGTGGTGAAAGAATTCACTCTACATAGTAAAAACAAGCTAGAGGAAAAGCAGGAAACGGGGCTAAAATTACCCGAGGAAGTGAGGCTTCGGCAGGACTTCTCGTCTCTGCCTAATGTCCTGTGGCCCGTTTTGGCCTTGGGTTCTTTTTTGTAAGAAGGAGCAGCATCCTGCTTGTAAGACTCGGGAAGGCTGGCAGCCGAGGAGAGGGAGAGGTGTGCAGGATTTGGCCAGTCTGTCCTCTCGATGCATTAGTGGGATGGATGGTCAGGACGTGGGCAGCTCTGCGCTAAGGTCACAGCGTGGTGTCTGAGGTAGGACTGGTGCTGTGAGCAGAAGAATTGAGCAAGAATATGAATCTGTAGGATTAGGCTTCCCTAATTTTACAGAACAACTTGCCCCTCTCCAACTGTTTGGGATAACTTTAAACATGGTTATATGTAGGCTGAAAGCGCTCACACCGAAGCTATCTATCCATATATTTGTATAATACATAAAACATCCTGATAAACACCTTTAGTGTTGCAGGAGGGTAGTGCTTTGAATTCTTCAAAGTTGCATCTGATTCCAGTATAAATGTTCATCATAATAAACCAGTCCACTCTTGCTAGAGTAAGTCCTGAACACTTCCCGTGAGTGATTAGCCCTTTTGGTGCTTCACTTACGGGATTTTCTCTTTAAGGTAGAATGGGAAATGGTTTTGGTATTTTTATTGTGGTACTCCTTAAAGAGCTTTTAAGCATATTGAAAAATAACAGCTTGGCAGTAGGTTAATCAAAATTTAAGAAACTTGTTGAGGACAGCTTAATTGTTATCTGTTACCTTGTGCTATAGGAGCACACACTATTGTAGCAGTTGAGGGACCTGAAAGGAGATGCGTGCCGGTATACTGCATCCTCATCTTCTTTCTGCAGATGTTCTTTGACTTCAAGGCTTTTGTCTAACACGATCATTTCTGTGCATGTAGGCCACTAACTCATAATGAATACTGACTGCTTTAAAATAGTTTGTACAGGTCACGTTTATTTTGAATGGGTTGTAGTTGTTACATTGCCTCTTCTTTTTCTTCTAGGAAACCCAGCGCTTGCTGGCAGAGCCAGTCCCTGGGATAAAAGCGGAGCCAGATGAAAGCAACGCACGTTATTTTCACGTGGTCATTGCAGGTCCACAGGATTCCCCCTTTGAGGGTGGGACATTTAAACTTGAACTATTCCTTCCAGAAGAATATCCAATGGCAGCTCCTAAAGTACGTTTCATGACCAAAATTTATCATCCTAATGTAGACAAGCTGGGAAGAATATGTTTAGATATTTTGAAAGGTAAGCGCTACCTTGTTTTCTTTCTTTTGATGCTATTAAGTACAGGAACTTGCAGATTTCCCCTAAAAAGAGCATTCATTTGTTTAAAGAATACCTTGCTTATTCTTTAATCTGGGAGAGGAAAATTTGCTCTTTCTGTAGACTATGATGAATATGGTGTTTGATACTGCTATAAATGTCTCTTCAGATAAATGGTCCCCAGCTTTGCAGATTCGTACAGTTCTGCTATCAATCCAGGCTTTGTTAAGCGCTCCCAATCCAGATGATCCACTAGCAAATGATGTAGCTGAGCAATGGAAGACCAATGAAGCCCAAGCCATAGAAACAGGTGACGTATCTTGCACTTTTTTTTCCTGGCTTTAGGAAGTAGCTGATTGCTAACAGGTTGGGGAATATAAATCCCGGACCTCTTGTTGTGTGTCTGCAAGTTGCACACAGAATTACTGCCTGCAGTCATAGTCCAAGTACCCTGAATGTGCCTGCGGTGGTCTGTTTTCAAGTCTGTGAGGCCTGATGGAAGAAAAGCATGCTCTTGATCTGTCTTTATCTTGAGTTTTCACGTTCCTAAATTGCAAGCGTGTCTAATTTGGACTCGTGGTAAAATAAAAGCACACACCACTGCTTTTTCTGTAAAGCTTAAGGAACAGATTATCCAGTTTCAGACAGTACATCTCTTCCATGCCTGCTTCTGTGGCAAGCTGTAAATGGATTGAAAGAATTGTTACATTCTGCCTCTGCGCTTCTGGACCCACTGCAGTCAGGCCACTTCAGCAGCTGTCAACTTTTATGTGTTATAGGAGTTCAAAATTGCACTTAAAATCTCAGAACTGATATATTTTTTTATACTTGCAGCAGCGGTATAGAAATGATCTTTAAAAATAAGCATTCAAAATGACTTTGATAAAGCCTAAAAATACATCTTTTCTTAAATGTGTTTCTTTTTCTTTACAGCCAGAGCATGGACTAGGCTATATGCCATGAATAATATTTAAATGCGCTTTGAACATCAAGTGTGCATCACTTCTCCTGTTCTGCCAAGACCTCTTCCTTTTTTTGTTTGCATTTAATGGACACAGTCTTAGAAACATTACAGAATAAAAGCCCAGACATCTTCAGTCCTTTGGTGATTAAATGCACATTAGCAAATCTGTGTCTTGTCCTAAATCACTATTGTACCGCATGAGCAGAGGCTAGAAGTATCATCTGGATTGTTGTGAAATTGTTTAAAAGCAGCATCACATCTCTGCTTTTAATCATTTTTCCCATCATGGTTTAAGTATAAGCACTGTGAATGAAGGTAGGCAGGGTTAGCTGTGGGGCTTTTTGTTTTAATTTTGTGGGCTCCTCCTCCCTTTTTATGGTGATGCTAATTGCATTGGTAAAAGCAGCTAACCAGTTATACTTTAGAATATACCCTCTAGCCCAGTCTAACTTAGACGCTGTAGGTGGACAAGCTTCATTGTTTGAACAAAAAATGGGAACATTAAACATCCATCACCTTCACTAATAATATTGTGATTCTGCTGTCAAGTGTAGAAAAATCCCTCCAAGAAAAAGCTTGTGACCATTTTGTATGGCTTGTCTGGAAAATCTCCTGTAAATCTTATGTTTTAGTAAAATATTTTTTGTTATTCTACTTTGCCTTTGTACAGTTTATTTTGCTGTGTTTTCATTTCTCTAATGTGACAATCGTATTTAAAAAAACTGAAACCAGAATTGACAGTTTGTCTTCACCAGTCTGACAGATTAAACAGTAAAGAGGTGGAATTCACAAGATTTTTTTGCTTCTGTTTGCTGACTTTTTTTTTTTTATTAGCTTGTGATATTATGTGGGTGACCTTACCAGGCCAATTTAATATGAAATTGCATTTGGAGTGACTTTGAGAAACAAGTCTGTGATGTAACCATTGTAACCATCATTTTAGTAATGCCTTGATAATGCGTTTTCATGGAAATAACCGTAATCAAGTAGGAGGTTGAGAGTAAATGACAGTACTGATTATGAGTATCTGCATAACTTCTCCTTGCTGATTGCCCTCAGGTGTTAGGCTACACAGTTTCCTACCTTCTTTAATTCCTGCCCTCTATTAACACAAAATACCGGTGCGCAGAACCACTGTTGCAGCCAGTTGTGCATCAACTGGAGTTTGCTCAGCCACTTTCAGCTACTGCCTCCTACCAGTGGTATTTTCTACAAGCCTTATTAAGCTACTTGCTTGAGCAACTGGTCTGCTTAAATAGCAACAGAGTTTCTTTATTGGAGGGAGGGAAAGTGAGTAAAAACTTCCTTCTCATCCTTGTTTTTTGTGTATGCATCTTGTCTGGGAGTTCAGCATCTCTTCTGGGAACCTGTCTTACTGCTTTCCTTAATTTCTTGTATCCCTATTCTCTTCCTTTCCCCAAGCCCTCTCCCTCACAAAAAAAAAAAAAAAGCAGCTTAACAGCTTTTGGTGAGGCCACCCTGAAGTGTATAAATGACGGCGTGCAGTGGTTGCGGTGGGGCGTGTCTTGTCGTGCGATTCCAGGGCTGTGGTTATGTAGTCTGTTGGTGTTCTCCCTCTTTCACCTCTTCTTACCCTAGTGTCATCTGAAATTTCTCTAGAACGTGGTGTATTTATTGTGCTCTTATGTAAGATGAAGAATATCTATTAAAACTATGTTTTCCAACAGACAGTGCTTTCAGTGGTTAGTAACCGGTGGTGTCCCTCAAAGTACGCTTTGTAACCTGGTTGAAGCTTGGTTTGGAATCCAGCTTTTCCACCAGACTCAGCTACGAAAAAAACAAAACCAAACCTGTTTCAAAAGTAGTTTCTGTGTTGAGTGTAAGCCCAGGCTGCGTTGTTCAGGGCTTGCAAGGAATTGTTTGTTCTTCAGAGTGGGTGAGCACCGTTAACCCTGCCCTCTCCTCACACGTGAGCCTGGGTTTGGGTCTGGCTGGCGCTCATCTCCTTTGTGCTGCTGATGTCGGCAACTTTTGGGCAGCCGAGAACAGGTGAGCTGTGTGGGAGAGCCCGGATTCACTTCACCCACCTCTTAAAGCTTTACCTTATGCTGGGTCTGCAGTGTTCCTCAGCTCTGTCCCGAGGACGAGTGGCACCCCCAGGGAACAGGGGCCCACTGAAGCACCCCCTGTGGAAGGTGGCTTTCCCTTCCTTCCTGAGAGACACGGGGGTCTGAACTGGCACTTAACGCAATTAAACTTCAAACTGGGTGGGATGAATCCAGACCCCGGGTGATTTAGCAGATGCCTGGTGTTTGTGTGTTCAGGGCTTAAAACTGCTGGAGTTGGCAGCTAACTGGGGGATGTGGTTAAGTTCTCGGTGGAACATTGTTAATGCATCGGTAGGCAAAAAATCCTCTGCCTCCGTTTGCTAGCGGCCGAGTAAGGTGGCTTGTAGAACCGTTCGAGTATGCAGTAGCCAGGGTGTGACTGGGTTATTTTTTTTTAACTATCATCTCAGCCAAATTGAGATTTTATTAAAGACATCCAGGCTGTGGATGTACAAGTCCATAGTGATGGTACATCTGAAATGAATGGTGTGAAAGTAAACTACCGTGTTTTAAACGCTTTAGAGTAGTTTCAAATGATAGTTGTAGTGAAGGAAACTTTATCTGGGCTTCCTGAAAACTAAAATTTGTTTGCCGTGGGGTCTATTCAGGCATGTTTTAATCCTTTTAAAGTTGATGATGTGTATTAAATAGTGAGTATTTAAATTTTAAAGCTGATTTAAGGGCCCTGTATAAAGCCAAGCAGGGAATTTCATTCTGTCTTATGCTGAGGAATGCGTGAAACTTTTAGGCTGAATTCTCTGAAGCCGGCTAGATACAACTTGCTCCCCAGTTAAGCGGGTGCGTATTCACAGCCAGTACCTGAGGCTCCCAGTGACTTCTGCTTCATCTGCCACTACAGCTGGTTGGCAAGCGCAGCTCTCCTGTAGGCAGCCTTAGTTTTGCTTCCATTTTTCTTGGATGCCTGTGGGATAAATTTTCGGTAAATCTCAAATAATCGTGTTTCCTCCTAGCATTACTGGTGCTGTGCCTCAAACGTCCTGAAATCCCGAGCAAGAGCGGCGATGTTGCATTTTATGTGCCGGTGCCTGGGTAGTGACCGTGCAGCTGTTGTGCCTGGGTTATCCCATGGGCTCTAAACCCACGCGTGCAAGATGCTTTTGCAGTAGCTTCCTTGAGATCAAGAGGAGGATGCGGGAGGCTTCTATTTTCACATAACCATTCCATGGTTGTAGTGTGTAGCCTCAGCGTGTAGCCCTGTTCTGTCACGGCCGTGCAGTGTATGAGCACCGGGATCTGATGGCACGGGGGGGTTGTGTCTTAGCTGACTTTAGTCTAAACCAAGTGAAACGTTGCTTCAGTAGCTTTCAGGGAAGTGTATTTCCAATGCACTGAGATTATTGTGGAACATCCGAATGGACCAGTAACATCAAAAACTGGGACATCTCCATTTATGTACATTCCTTTGGGGATTTTTCTTTTTGTTTGAGGGTTACTCTTAAAGTAAATGTCTGGTAGGTTTTGTCAATAACATGTCTTGACTGTAATGTGCTATGGACACTGAAATAAAAGGAAGAGTGATTATTCATTACATAGGCACTGAGCTTCATTTAACCAGTGGGCTGCCATCAGTGTGCAGTACAGCTTCCTAAAAGCTTAAAATAAGGAAGATAAACATTGATACCTTCTCTCATAACTCATTTTCCAGTTGCTGTGGCTTCCCCCCCGCCTTGTATGGGGAGGGAAGAGCAACACCTCTGTCCGAAAGCAGTCAGAGGGGACTGCTCTGGTACGCAAGCTCAAATTTCTAGTGCAGTCAAGTTGATAGATGTATTAAGCTTTGCTAAATCATGTTACTTTGTGCCATGCTCGTAAAGTTAATGATTACATGTCTGCTGTGACGGATATCGTGCCGTGTATTGCAACCTTTCCTCTCCAAGCGTGCAGGAAGATTTTAAAGCAAATCTCTGACTGTTGAGTTGCACTGGAGTACGTTAGAGGAGCAGCGTTGAGCAACTGCTTTACCTGGGCTGTTCGCTTTTGTGAACTCCCCATAGCACTTGATAAGGGGTTAGGCCTGAGCAAGTAGACTACTCTTTGTTTGTCTGCGGGGCAAGAACTTAACTTGTTAAGTTAAACTTGAGGATAAAAACTGCTCTGATTTGAAGGGGGGTGGTGGTGGTGGAAGCTGTCAGCTGAATGCTACCCGCTGGGTGGCCCGTGGTAGGACAGGAGCTTACACCCCAAGGTGGCTCAGCTAGGCAGCTCAGTGTGTTGCTTGGGAGCTGTCACCGTTGACCAGCCCGTCACTGAGACACGGAACACTCCAGAATCCTCAAGGAAGAGAGCACGGGGAGGTGCGGTACCTGTGGTTTCGGTGTTTCACACCGCGTGAGCCTTCCCAGGTAGAGAGGGGGATGCAAGTGGGGCACGTAACAAAAACATTTTTATTACTAGTTTTATTTTTTAAGAAGGAAAATACAAATTATTTCACATGGGAAACTCATCTCTGACTGGAGTTACTTGTTGCAAAACTGTTGTTTTGGGTACGCTGGTGCAGGCTGGGCTCTTGTCTCCAGAGCTGCTGTGAAGGAGTATCTCTTGGTTCGGGCCTCATCTGCACCTCCCTGCCTGGCAGGTACCCAAGTTCCGGTACCCAAGTTCAGGTGCCCATGGTTTCTGTAGATGGGCTTGCGAGCTCAGGTGTAAATCAAAGATGTCACGGGTGATGTTGGGTTGTTGCTTGCTGTCGCAGGTGTGCTCATCTCAGCCCAATCCCCTGCTGTGCCTGCACAAGTACTGCTGCTGCGGTTTCCCCATCAGCCACTCGTTACTGTTACGGGTGACGCTGAAGCCTTAGGATGGGTACTGATAAATTTAGGGAGGGGTGCCTGTGGTCTTATGCCCCAGGCATGATTACTGAAACTAAAGGTGGACTAATCTCAGAAGAAGACACAGTCGGGTGATTCTAAGGGCATTTTTCCTTTCCTCAGTTGCTGTGGATGTTTGCCTGTGGTGCTAGTGGGGTACCCAGAAAGCGGGGAAGGAGGAAGGAAGGGTTTAGGACAATTAAACAGTTGAATGGCAGCAAAAAGCCCCTTAGGACCAGGCCAGGTTGGAGAGCCCGTCTGGATGAAGCAGGTGCCAGGCCGCAGGTGAGCCAACAGCAGGGTAAGTGTGTGAGGTTGCTGGTCTTCAGCTGGTAGCGTGCGTTGCTGTCTGTGCTTCCTCACACCGTCTGTCCGTCAGAACTGGTAACAAATAACGAGGGAAGGCTATTGGGAACTGGTGCTGCCAGCGAGAGCTGCTGGAAGTTCAGTGTGGACCATATTGGGCAAATAGCAGCTCAGTCGGTGCCCACTAACTTTCCTGAACTGCCTCTTCAAACAGCGTCTCCTGCTTGTTTAGGGACAGAAAATCATCCGACTGCATCGTTCGGGGCGGTACATGGCCCACAGCACTTGGATTGCCACGAGCAGGGACATGCCTGCGGCTGCCAAGTTTGCAGGTTGAGAGGCGATGCCGTTCCTTGTGCGGAGCGTTGTCCTGATGTGGACACAGTGCTGGCTTCACCATGAGCCGAGCATGCAGAACCTGGCTTTGTGCTGCAGCAGTGCTGAGGCCAGGGCAGTGTTGAAAGTAAGAGGGTAAGCTTAAAAGAAAAAAACCAAATGCATTTGACTTACTTAAAGCTTGAAGATTCTTACAACCTTTCTTAGTCTTAGAATCCACATTGATAATTTTGCCGTTCCCTCTGGGTGTTGTGCTTTGACGCACGCTCTACCCCTGCTTGTGTGCTTCAGCTTCACATGCCACACAGGAGAGGTCCTGGTGGGAGCCAGGCACAGCTGCGGTCCCTTAACTCTGGAGAGTGATTCTCTTGAAGGATGCAGGGCAAGGGCCTGCTTGTCAGAAGCCATCGCGAGGGGGCACAGAAGAGCTGCTCACTGTCAAAACAACATGGAAGGAAGCAGGTTCAAAAAACCCAAAGCAAGGAGAGGTGGCTCTGGGGCCACAGGCTGGGCTCTGGCAGGGCTCTCCAAGCTGGGGGTTTGGGATGGGGGGGAGGTTTGTGTTCTAAGGGAGGGGTGTGGTGTCAAGCTGAAGGAAAAGAAATCCATTCCTCGTCACAGCACAAAGGAATGGGGGGGTCTGGCTGAGGAGGATCCTGAGCCACAAACAGGGGCAGACAGGGGCATGTGAGGCAAATACCATCCCCTTGTTACTTGTTCCTCCAGGCACGGCTGGAAGGGAGGCAGGGGCCTTCGATGGACCTTTGGGCTGATGTGATGCAGTTGCTCTCACTGTTATGGTGCCGATATTAAATACGGGGCTGCACTGCAGCTGGCAGGCATGAAGGTAACGAAAGACAGCGGAGTCTGGGCAGCAGTTACAGGGCAGAGGGCTGTGCAGCGAGCCCGGGCAGCCATGCTGGGACAAACGCTTCCCAGGGCTCTTCCACCAGGCTCGGTGAGGCCAGAGCACAAGGATGAGGCAAGAAGTAGGAAACAGTAGAGGAAACGCAGTAGGTGTTAGATGGGATTGTAGACTTGCACAAACACTTTTGCACTATTTGCGATGGAATGAATACAGCATCCACAGGACTAATTTAGATTTTATTCCGGTATTTCTCAAATATAAAAAGTCAAAATTCTTACATCAATCTTTAAAGAAAATCCATGCAAGCAGGTCAAAATCTTTTTTCACCTCACAAACCATGTTGGTAAGTAAACCAAGTGTTTGCCTCTCAGTTGGTTTTGGTTTTTTGTTTTCACAGCACATTGATAACAGACCAATGCTAGGCTAAGTCAGGGGTGCAGTAAGCACCAAAATAAGATTTCTCACTTTAACAGCCTCTCTGCAATACTTCGGTGTTCCTCGTGGTGTTTAAAAGCGTATCCCATCTCACTTCATTCAGGCTCCATGCCATTTTACACTTCTTTAAGGCTACTTCTGTTTGCTACCACCACAACCTAACTCATGATAATCTCAAAACCCAGCAGCCAGGAAAAGCAGCAGCACAAACCAGACTTTTTTGAAAACTGCAGCTGACCACCTCTCTCTCCCCCTTCTCCTCTGGAGAGCCACATCTGGATACATTGTACAGGGTTTATGCCATGAGAAAAATCCCAAATCTGCTCTGTATAAAACAGGTTTGGCCCATCTAAATACAGATGCATGTAAAACCAAAACGCTTCTATATTTAAATTGACAGGCAGTAGAAAAAGCTTTAGCCTTCCTATGCTGATTTTTACACAGACCCTTTCCATCGAAGTTTAGCGTTGGATTTCACGGGGACTGAAGCCAGGCTGCTGCCTGTTCGCTACAGTTGTTCCCTGTAGCGTAACTCAAGTGTTTTCAAATTTACCTTTACAACTCGCAGAACGCTTATCTTTGAAAGGGAGCAGAAGTCAAACTAAGCAATAGAGCTTCGTTCTGAAGGTTGCATAGAGACTGAAGAGATTTATACAACAAATGCTGTTTAAAAAGAAAAATACCTGTCTGGCACTACTGAACAGCTCAAATGTGTGTGACCAAGAAATAACCAAAATATTTATAGGCAATCAACTCTGAGTTTGTTAGCAACAGCAATACTGTACATTTTTACATTATCAAATACATAATTCAAGAGTTACAAAATAAGATCATGCATTACCACTAAATCTCATACAAGCTTGGATTGGTTTCATTCCAAGAATCTGAAACGGAAGCTTTTTTTTTTTTTTTTTATGAATAAGAACTCAAACTCTGGATTCTTGTTTCAGCTTTCACAGGTTCTATATAATCTTTTTACAAGAAAGCCTGTACAAGTTTGCTCAATTTAAAGCGTTAAAATGACTACTGAACAAAACAAGTGAGCATCAAAGTGATCAAAGAAGGGAGCTAAATGATTCACTCTTCTAAAGGCAGCTTTAGAGCCAGAGGTACCCTCGCACCCCGTGGGTATGATTTTAACACAGACTCAACGTTCTTCACCCATCTTCTCCCGTCTCACCCAGCAAAACGGTGCCTTAGATAGACCACTCAGTTTGAAGAAGCGAGCCAAGCACGCAGCGTCCCAGTTGGGATTTGGTTCAGAGTGAAGTATGCCCGTGCTCGTGCGTGCTTCCGCAGCATCGCCCCCCCCTTCCCCAGCCCCCCCTCGCGACGGAAGGGGTGGGTGAGCTGTCGGTGATACCTCCGCCCGTCAGGGCACCGGAGCAGGCCTGTGTGTTCTTTCCAGTTCTGGTAGTGACCTGGAACAGGAGATAGGGGGACGGGAAGCAGCATCCTACCCGACATTTCAGAAGCCTTCAGCTTTGTGGCTCATGCCTCTTGTCAGTAGTATTTATGCCTCTTCAAAGAGAGCAGCATTAAGAGATCAGGTCATCTGTCTCCCTAGTTTCACTGCATTTACATATGGCACAAGATTGGTTTTCTAAGGAGTAAGTTGTTGCAACAACATTTTTTTTTCCTAAAAAAGTGTAACAGCACAAAAAAGTTTAATTTATAGCAGCATTTTACACAATTTGTGTTAAAAAAGTAGAAGTTAACCATTTGTGTATTGAGTAACAAAAGGTTTAAATTACATTTATTTTCCATTTTACACTCACTATTTACTAGTTGGACTATTTACAAAGGTTCAAATGTTGCGTAAGGAGAAGGAGCTTTACCCAGAATAAACTTCACATGTGAGGTTAATGGTCTACCTCAACCTCTGTTTTGGCTGGCTATAGAGGAGGTACAGTTGGGTTTAGAGCTTAGAAAAAAAATTCAGAATTAGGATGTTCAGATGAATTAGATTGTGTTCTTTTAGAAGAAACCATACACACACATGTACAGAGAGAGTAATCCTATGGTAAAAACATTAAGACCGACAGTGGATTTGGTTTTCATCTTTTTGGCTGAAGAGGAGGAGAAAACAACGAGAACAGGGAAGTTGTCAGCTGTACCTCGTTTATTCCAACTAAGTTCCTGTCAAGAGGCCAGCTTTTTAATTCAAGAAGCTAAAGCAGTTGATGGCCTAACAATGAATGTGAAGTATTTAAGAATTAACTTAAAATCGAGGCTTTCAGCACACCTTCGGAATAAGACAAAGGAATAGTATTTCTCCACTAGTCTAAGTAAGTATCAACCCACCGGTCTCCAAGCCCAGGAGGTACCACTGCTACCTCCTGCCGGGCAAGACACCTCAACCCGTGCTTGCTGACAGACACCTCAGTAGCGGTAGCGTAAGGGTGCCCCCCTTGGGTAAGTCTTACTGTCCTCTACACGTTTCTACATGACAACAGGCTGCAGGAACACTGCGGAAGATGCTTCTCATTGAAGATTAGAAGGTTTTGGAACCTGCAGTGTAATTACACCCTGAACAAAACGTGTCAAAACGCTAGAAGGAAATTAAAAAAAAAAAAAAAAAATGTGGGAAGAGAGATTCTACAATGCTCTTCATCTACGTCTTCCGACAGTTCATCAGCTGACCAAGTGATGAAACAGAAGTACAGCGGACAGTTTTGGTAGTGCAAGACAAAGTTACTGTTCTTGCTGTAGTTATACATTACATGAAGATTGCATAGGACAAGGCAACCTTTTGGACAGCGGAGGCAAGCAGTGCTTAGCGTTGGTACCCTTTGCTCTCAACGGGCTGAACGTGGTTTAGTGCTTTACCGTAGCCACGCTTACACCTCTCTGCCATCAACACACCCATTTACCCAAATACTGCCACCTTAAGATCTTAGCGCTTCATCTGTGGATAAGAGTTTAGGATAAGACTATTTACTCAAGCTTTTTTCTAAGCAAGTACTCTTGCGGAACTAATGACTAAAACTGACAAGTGTTAAATAAGCTGAACACCACTGAGATGCGTATTTTATTTTAGCAGATATGGAAATTTATATACTCAAGTTTCTTTTTTTTTTTTTAAAAATGGCCTATTAAGGCATCTTAAAAAAAATCCATATATGGCTTTGGTTTGCTGAAATACTATTTTACATTGTTAAAAAGGAAAAACATGTTCAAATAAATCTGACATTATGACACATTCACATATTTCACTTAGAACTGACAGTTACACAGATGCCTACATGTGATCACAGACGTCTCCCCTTGTGATGACATGAATAAAAAGGTAATCCAAATGTTTATCTCACAGTAGAGGGCAACCCAGAAGTCTGTGCAGAAGTGACATATAAGGAGTTATTATCTGGAAGAGGGGGAACCACAGAGTTTCCATTAGTGGGTGAACAGCTCAATTTCAGTTTTTCCAAGTATTCTGCATGAACGGGCTTGTGACACTGAAGGACCTTGATTGCATCTTCTACTTTAAACCATTCTCTTTTCCTTCCTGAATGAGTAGAATCCACAAAGAAAAACAGAGTTACAAACTTGTTTCAGCACCATTTGTTGCTATCCCATCATCTGCTTTTTCTCATTTCTTTTACTTTAGAGGTTCAAATTGTCAGGCGAAAGATAGGGAGTGAACAGACCTTGAAAGAACTGATGAACACAAGACTGACTCAAGCTTATGGAAATGCAGTTCCTAATAAACCTTTTCAGATAACTCTCTTGAAACAGATACTGGGCAGAAGCTCGTATGACTTCATATGCTCCAAAAGCCACATCTAGTCCTTACAGAATATTATTATTTAATTGACTTAATACTGCCTTCCTACACTGTCATGCCTAGCAGAAAACCAATCTGAAGAATGAACATGTGTGCATGCATGAAGTTACAGAAAAAGAATGGCTTGGTCTGATTTAGAAAGTGGCATTCCATACTCAAAACACATCCCTGTCTGGAGTTATTCAGGTTATCCCTAAGTTTTAAAAGATGATATACTTTATACCAGAGATACGCTTAGGTAAGTTCTAAGACTTATCTTAGATAGTCCTAAGACCACCTTTCTTGCACAGGTCCTTTAAAATTAGAGGCCTCTGAAAATACTTACAGACAAGGTCAAGGATAGTATTATTAAAAGCAGGATTAATTCTATTTTTCATTTGGATTTACAGTGCTGCAGGTACTATGCTTGAACACCTGTATGCTTAAAACAAGCAGTTTATAGATGTCCAAGACCAAGGTAGGTGGCCCCACCAGGGCCGTTCACCCAGCCAGCACCCCGCTGCCCGCAGCGCTCCCAGAAGGGAGCCAGCAGCAGCCCCGGCGCTGGATGCTCCCCTCCACCCCACAGCTTGGCACGAAGCAGGAACGGACCAGTCCTGCCCTCATGGGCCCCATACACTTCCAGGTACAAAAACCCCCTCAAAACAATCCCACCCCTGCCAATATCGATCCTCTTCAGTAACGGGCCACTGATCAGTGTTGCTAAATAGGGAATTAAGCAATTAAGAGGGTGCACTCCCCACAACTTGACAGTATTGGAACCAAACCATTCTCTCTCCATCTGCAGAAGTGAGGAGAGTTTTGAAACTACACGTACAGCTACCTGCCATTTGCTGACAGGTCAACAGTGCTGAATTTATGAACATTAACACTCCTAAAGCACCACACCTCCTGAAAAGGGCAGAGCATAACCAATCAGCGTAGGATGTAACTTTTAATACCAATTCTTAGTTAACTAAAATTTCAGCTGGACAAATACACTGAATGGAATGAACTTTTTTTCTTTTTTTTTTTTAAACTTAAGGACAAAACCAGTTAATGTTTACCTAATTAAATTCAAAGTGGACGATCCATACAACATCAGAAAAGACGTTAATCTAAACTGCATGGCAGTATCTGTACAACACAGACGTATACATACATATATACACACAGACACACATACACACACACACATATATATATCTTAAGGTCAGTACTGTCACTACTGAAAGATCCAGCTGAGGTGAAAGTAAATACTAGTGATTTTTTTCCTCCCGGGGAGAATCAGGGAAAAAAAGAGCCTCATCGAAACTTCCCAAAGGGGGTTGGTTTTTTTTTTTCTTCAAAGACACTTTCAAAAACACCCTAGAGTATCAGACAGCAAAACATTCTACTTTTTATGGGAAAACCAAAAAATTGTCAGTATAATATTTGGCCTTTTAAAAAAAAAAAAAAATTAAGAGCTGTATCAGCAACTAATGATGAAATTTATTCCTCATAGTACTTAGAATACCCAAAGTAATAACATGCAAGAGTAAAGCAGTATGTCAGAAGCAGCCCTAGTTATATGTGTACAAAAGTATGGAAGAACAGCATCACAGTTTCCAGTAATTTCATTTTGTGTAACAGAATTAGTATTCCCCAAAGGACTATATGAATTGGTTCAGAAAATGTAAGAAGTTTGCTTCATACATTTTAAGTATAGCACATGAGGACAGAGAATGCGTTTACCTATATTAACTGAATCCTCCCAGTCTTCCAGTATTTCCGTCACAGTAAGAACATAAACATATGTCCTATGCTTCCGATCCTGGTTCTGCTTGAATATTAGAAGTAGACATTTTAATTTTCAGCAAAAAATAACTCACAGGCTTACCACAGCTATAAGATCAGAAATGACTTACCTCAGAAGGATACTTGTCGGCAAAACCTGGCTTTTATTTACACTACATAAACATCTGTACTGAGTAGGCCCAAAAGGATGGGAAAATTAAAGCTCTGATGCAACAGCTATTCTATTTTACTAGGCTAAAAAAAAAAAACCAAAACAAAAAAAAACCCCCAAAAATGCCACAACCCCAAAAAACCACCCACAACCCTACCCAAGGAAATCTGAAGATCATGAAGTTGGGACCAAACTATGTTCTTGGTCATTCAGTCTAATATTAGCAGCTGTCCACTAGTACTGGCCATTACTTATCTTTAAGGTATGTTGTAAGTTACCACAGTAGAGTACATTTGCTAAAACTGTTTCCACAACTCATGTTCCTAGCTGAAAGGTAGAAAGGTTAAAAACCCCTCTGCAAGATGGAACCACTGCGACAAGTGGCCAGATCATCTGTGCAATGCTGGCTATAAAGTTTCACTCAGTAAGTGAGGCAAATTAAACAGCCTATGTTTGCAATCATGACAAATGCAAAAATCATTACCATCTGTTCACTCGACGGGTTTGCCACCTTCGCAGCACTAACCACTGATTTAGAAGGCGATGCCTTTCGAACAAGGCGAGTCGCATACAGAGGCTGACAGCGGTGGTCTGCTCAGGGCAGGGTCACCATGCCGGAGCCAGACCACGCGAGGTCTGCGTAGGCATCGCTCCCTGCTCGCTGCAAAGCGGGCTAGCGGCACACTGCTGAAGGTGCTACCCGGCTAACCAAACCATGCTGCCCCTCGGAAAAGAACCGAGCTCCTAGAAAACCCAGGACCATCTACGAGGACAACTCTATTAAGAACCAAGAGATGCTATGCCCTAGCTCCCCTAGCAGATGGTGCTGTCCTTGTGCCAATAACCATTCCTACTTAACTCTGTTTTGCTACAAGCTTAATATAGTTTTAAACAGTTGTGCTTTACTAGGAAATAAAAATACTCCAAGGCAGTTCTTTGTCAGTATCACTATTAAATGGAGTAAATACATCTGTAACGCATCCTTTCTGGCTGTAGTTCCAGAACACGAGGACTCAGCAGCAGTATCATTTCCATCTGCTCTTAATTCCATCCCCAGGTCGCAACGTGTGGCCCTCTCAGAGGTACCAACAACTGTTTGTGGGGCCACGTTGTGAAACTGAAGTAGGGCCTTGATTTAAGCTAGAAGTAACCTAGAAAAGGGCCACTCAACACAGATTTTTATCTCCTCTGGTCTTCAGAACAACATACAGATGAATTACCGAAGAATCATCATTCCTCACAGCTCCTGTTTTAAGGCAACAAGATGATAGGTATCTTGTCTTTTTTTTCATCTGAGCTGGGAAATACAGAACACTTCTATAGACTAACCAGCAGAGTTAAAACACAGACAAGTTTTTAATGTGTTGGACCATCCAGGTGTACTCATAAACCCAAAACAAATCAGAAAAAGTGTGAGTGCTACTAACTGCAAACAGGAACTTTTCTAATTTTGTCATGGTTTCCGTACTTCACAACAGGAACACCTTTAGCACTGTACCAACTAGTCATACGTGACTAAGTAATATTTCACACAGGAAATCCTTATCAGGAATACACTGCCTCTGAAAGTTGGGTTTATAATTAAACTGTGAAGATTCACACCTACCTACTAGACTAAGGGACTTCCATTCTCACCCATCATCCAGCCCAACATAGTAACGCTGGATGTATTATGATCTGAAGACTCATACCTACATTTCTACAGTCTACTCCTGTCTAGAACCTGAGCAGAAGTGGGCAAAGCCAATGCTAAAAAAGTTATATCTAGCACACATCCTTGTGCTGTCAGGGGTTTGGAGTCTGACATTTGCACCACAAATACAAGTTTTGAACTACGCGGTATTGCTGAAGGTTAGATTTATCTGTTGTCCCAAGCCTGAGCTTTTTCTAGTGAACCAAAGCCATTACGAGATACTTCATACGCAGACCTATAGATTTAGGTGTGTGAAAGTCGACAAGTTACTTCAGCAAAATCAGAGAGGAAAAGTCAAAATAGTGCCCCCAAAACCAGCATGTGTGATATTACAGAAATCCTAGATCTATCAATGTTGGTTTCACTTCCCCCCCCTGCCCCCCCGGGATCTTCTCTAAGTACTAATTTAATCTTTCCAGGAAAGTTCCAAGTACTTTGAAATCTTCCTATTCAAATCTTCACACATCATGTAACAACTAAAAGAAATCACCTGTCTAATGCAGCATTTCCAGCAGCATTGCAAAATTATAGGCAGGTAATACTTAAGAACTTAAGTCTGATGCTGTAGTTTATCAACACTCACCAAAAATAAAAAAGAAAAGAAAAAAAAGAAAGAAGAACATTTTTTTAAAAGGTAAAAGAAATAGCTCACCTCAAATATCCCAAGCAGTCTGCCTAGCTTTCCCTTTACTCCAGCCTACAAAACAAACAGGAAAAAGCATTAACACGTGCTTTTTAATTTCAAAACCTAAAATATCAGTACCAGCCTCCTATATCAGCATACTCCTCCTCATTAGGCTTATTTGAGCAAGTGTTTTAACATCAGTTTTAATTAGAAAGTGCTGCATTGCTTCTGAAGTTTCTAGTTTTAGAGTACTTAAGAGTATTAGAGCACAAAAGCTTGTCCTAATGAATGGATCAAAGAATCTTTCAAGTTTTCCATCCAGACCAAAATACTGTTTTACTTACCATGTTCTTTGCGTACTATGTTGTATTAAAGAGATAAAGGACATCCAATAATGAAATAATCCAGGGGAGTAGATAGGACAAGAGATAATTTAAAGTAGTGTAATAATAAATCTAGAGAAGGAATCATTAAACTCCACTGCTATTTTACACAGAAACTTAAGCCCAAGTCTTCAAAATACAGTAACAAATTAAACTGTAGGTTACTAGGTGGATCTTGCAGCATAAGGACTTCATGTATGCTGGTTTTCATATAAAAGTGTAGTTTTTGGCACGTAAGTTTAAACACAGATTTATATCCCCAATTCTCTACAAACAGTTTTGAATTCTTTTTCTAGCTAGTAACATCACAAAAGTCATTAAATTCAGAGTTTTACTCCAACTTTTTAGAATAACCCCCTAAGCAGCCAGTGTTTTGTAATTTTTATCAATACAGTTAGGTGGTCGTTATATTCTTCTAAGACTACAGGGTTTGTTTTTCCAAAAGTAATATATAATGCCTCTTCCAAGAGAAGTAGTTTATGATCATCCATTTATTCTAAACAAATCTCAGTCCATACGCCTGAGACATAAGAGCGTATGTAGTCTACTGGTAGACAAAGCCATATTTAGATTTTTTTTGTCGTGTTGTATAACCGATATTTAAAATAGGGCTTCTTAGCACTAAGATGACATTTTCTAGCCTTCAGTCTTTGTTTTCAGCTTTAACCAAAGAAAGTTACTGATGTCTTATGTCTTTCTATAACGGACCATATGGATCTTAATTATATTTTATTGAGTAACTCTGACAAGCAACTGGGCAGGCTTTAGCAATAAGTCTAATCAAGATCTTGTAAATGAGTGGTTTGTGTGTCTGTCTTTTTGAAGGAAGCAGATGGCTGGTGTTATTTATTAAGTAGTTTTGATGAAGGAAGTCTGATTGCAGCCCATGCAACTTGACAAACACTTTGCTAATCTAGAGCAAGAGCTAGACCTCAAGTTAATGCAAAACTACATGCAATATTCTTCTGGTTGTCTGCTGTGATGACAGAGATACCCATTAGAGCTCATGAAGCTGAAATAGATAACTGGACCTACTCGCTAAGTGATTAGGCAGCACATTAATTATGGAAGTGACAGGCCCTTATTTTGGTCCGAAAGGGTCACTATGTCACAACAGGCCCTCAAGACTGCTTGTGCCTTACATGGGGTAACAAAAAAGCATTCATTAGCCTAAAGGAACACAAGCTGAAGAAGCGTTTAAGTTTTACTGATCGGTCCTGATTTCCTCAACATTACACTATCTTTTTTTAAAAGAGAAGCAGAACCTAAAAGGCTACAAACTTATGATTGTGTCCCCAATTTTTGCCTTTCTTCTCATGCAGCACTGTCTAGGAATCACTATATCCTTTAAGGTTTCTACTTTGTGGCAAACTGAACAACAACAAAAGAACAATTTCCCACCATCCTATTCGATCAAAAATAGTAACATGAATCTGTGGTATTTGTCTTTTTTTAATACTTCAGGTGTCCAAGCGTGCAGTTTTAGCTGTACAAGTTTTAGAATGTCTTAATTTCTTCCCTGAAGTTGAAGAAAAGACCAAGATTGTTTAATATCCTTAAAGATATGGCTTAACAGCATGACAGAGAGCCCAGACAGACTCTACAGGTTTCTCAAACAATAAGAAAAGCTTTTCCAGGTACCAAGATGCTGTTCTTAAGGGGACTAAGCTCTACCAGAGGGAGGAAAAAAAAATAACTCCCTCTCACTCCAAACCCAAACAACTGCCGCTCCCCAGACCCCGACCAACACCCCCCCAACCCAAAAAACCTTCAAGATTTTATAACTCTTAAGAAGTCCTAGCCAAGGCCTTATTTAGATTACAAAGATTTCTTAAAGGCAGGTCTAGGGCAACAGGACTGTTGAAGGACGGAGAAACTCACCACCACAGATGCAGGAGGGCATCTCTGAACTGCCAAGTGACAATTTACTGAGAGTCAACACATGGCACAAACACCACGACCAGGTAAGGTTACCAATACTGAACAGCTTTCATAGAGAAGTTTCTTCAACTTATTAGTACCCCATAGTCACAACGCGACTTTATCATCAATGCTACTCTAAGTGGAATTTACTTAACAGCTTCTCTACTGTCCCTCCAAGCAAATCAGTGGTTTAAACAAATACTCTTAGCTGAATAATTCTGAATGAAACAATTAGCAGCACTCCATTACATTAAGTGTACAATTTCCCCAAAGCTTATAACGAAGCTTTTGTGCAACCAGATGTTGCTATGTAAATGTGATTACTGTCACTGATGTCTAGTTACTCTCTAGGCAAAGATATGTGCTTCCAAAATGTAGCATCATTCTGGTAGACAGTAGCGTCTTTTGAAAACCTCTATACCCGAAAGTATAAGAAGGTGGTAATTAGAGTCTCATGATTTTTCTCTGAAAGGAAATTCAACTGAATCATTGTCGTAGTTTAAAAAGTACCATCACCTTGACAGTGATGTTTTTAAAGTGCTTTTGCTAACAAAAATATTTCCTTCCAATTCTTTTCTTAACGTAGTTCCTTCAAAATGTGTCAAAATTAAGTGCTAGAGGAAAGAAAGAAATGCTTCAGCTTTTTCCCCAGAAAGTCAAATAAAGTTTCCACTTTCCTAGTTATAAGCTTCTAATCCAATACACTGGTTAAGTTCTAGACTTTGAACAATTTGTCTCTAATAAAAGTATCTTTCTTCCTTTGTCCTTTATGTACCCATAGCTATTAAAATATGGTTCAGTAAGTAAACAGAATCCTATAGGCTATCATAAATGTGTAAGACAGTCTAAATTTTGGGAGAAAAGCCTGAGAAAACCTGCATTTCTTTTGACAGACAAGCTGTTGGATTAAGGGCTACACCCCCCCAGAGCAATTCCCTAGGGAAGTCTATGAGTACTGTACAGATAAGGTCTGGAATCTGAATTTATACCTCTATTTTAGTATTAGTCTAAATCCAACCACAAGAGGGAACACTGTCCACTTCATCCCATAATCTTTTTGGCCTGGAGGTCATTCGCTGTTGGCAGCTCCAGAAGTACTGCAGTCTTAGATGTGCAGTCAAACTCACCTTTTGTCTCCTGTAGATGGAGCAAGAGTCATGCTGCAGTTTAATTCTTAGGCTAACAGTCTACCAGGGCAGAAAGTTGCTTAAAATCTGAAAGATTCAAGAGTTATCGTTGACTGCAGGATCTGTTGGATAGTACTTTAACAGCTACGCTCCTGAAGGCACAGTGCAAGACTATTCCTTTCTTGCATACACTTATGAAACCCAGAGGGTTTCACTGTACCTGCCACAATCTTTCAGCTGAAAGGGTGTTTATTTATTTATTTAAAAAATATCTTCCCAGTCTGCAACACCCAATCATTTTTCAAATATTAGGCACTCACTGGAGCAGAGTCCTCTATTTCCTGCGAGAGGTCTTGGATAATATTACTCCAATTTTCACTGTTGCAGCAGATTAACTTTCAGGATCAGCCTCTTCTTCTCAGAAGCTATATTCACACAGGTCTATGAGGAATTGCATGTATTTCGGTAGGCATTTCAATATACTAAGTACAAACAAGCAAGAGTCTCAGTATTTGATAAGGTGAAGGAAGACAAGGGAGTGGGAGGGCGCTCCTTCCATTTAGGAGGCTGGATATCATCAGCTTGCCACCCTTATTATTTGTGTCATATTTCTCTTTGAACATCACATGTGCAAACAACTCTTATTTCCATCTTTCACGCTACCCAATTAAAGACTAAGCTCCAGATTCATGAACAGAGTAGCTCCTCATTTAGATGAGGTTTAATACCTTTCTGGGATTGCGTTATATTGTATCTTCATTTTGCTATTCCACTTTCAGGTTTGTAAAAAACTTACTGTACCTAAGGAACTTGACAGGTTACCTTAATTACTGTAACCTGTGAAATGGCAGACAAAGTTAAATGAAATTCACACTAAACATTTAGTAGGGGTAAAAACCCAAATCACCAACATGAACAGAACTTAAGGATAAAAAGAGTCTGGAGTCATGCACACAGGCAGACTATGGAACAATGCAGTGCATATAGGTCTGACTACAAAGATCTTTGCTTGGGTTTTAAACCCAAGATTTTAAATATGCTACTGTTGATGGGAAAGAAAGGGATATTTAGAGCCAGTGGGCTATCATATTGTGAGCTTTTAGTGCTCCCACTATTAAGAAATGCCATTATAACTCCCACTATGAATTTCTTGATGTTAATAAATTGATGGAAACTGAAGCTTCATTTGTGCATGACCCAATACTGAAGAAACACAGTTCAAACCAGTGCCACAGTGTGCCTCCTTTGAAGTTTATTCATTCACAAAACTCTTAATAGTTCACTTCACTGTACTGTAACCAGCTTGCCAGGTGACATTGACCTTTGTATAAAAATAGAAAGGACATCCATCTCTAGAAAGGTTAGTACGAATTTCCATGGCTCAAGTCAATGCCCCAAATACCACTCTGGCTTTTCTTTAAAAGTGGTACTCATGGCAGCACACAAAACTCAGCCTGTAGCTTAAGAATATTTTACTTCGAGGTATGAGCTTTTGACAGTCATCAGCTACAGAAGCTATCAAATCCTGGAAACTCTGAAGGTGTAAGGACAAGCATCACCAAATGATTTTTGCTTATTAAAGCCCCTAGCCTTTGAAAAATCTTCATGCATTTGCAAGCACGGCTCAGAGCTCAGTTTGTGTCTTACTCCAGAAAATCATTTAAAAAAAAAAAAAAAGGCAAAATGCCTCGCTGCTGTAGTAACAGTGAATAAAAATCAGTTTAACTTATGAGCAAAATGCCCCTGTGCTAGCACCACTCAAGAGCTTTAGATTTGCTGGGTTATCTTCTTTACTTTTAGAAACAGTTTCTCTCAGGGTGTATAAACACTGATGATGTTGGCATTTTCAAGTCATTTACGACATGCAGCTTTTCTATCATGAAGCCTCTTACTGAAATTTTAACGACGCCACCTATATTCTAAGCTAATGTACAATGCACTGAAAGGTAATCAAAGCATTTGCCTCAACTGCATGTTTACATGTAGCTGGTTTTAAGAGTCACTTTCTGTGATATCACTTGAACAAAACATGATCAAAAGAGTGCTCTGTGTATGAGTGAAGGAGGCTGACCTCTGTCTTCAGGATTCAAAACAGCCCAGGGTTGCCAAGTACTGCAATTCTTGACCAGAACCACCAGGACGAATGGGAAAGTCTTTTGCTTTGCCCTAAGAAAGAAACGAGGGCAAGAACAAAACCAAGCTATGGAAGGACTGCTTCACATTGTAACAGCAGGTACTCCTATTTTTCACTTTCTGACTTGCTCTTTTTTTTTTTTTGCCTGCTGATGTGAAAGCATATCCAAAGGGAAAAAGATAATTCAGAAGTAACTAACATTTTGGTATCTGTAAGAACTAGAGAAGTTCACAGTGTCTGGGCAGTGTGCACACTCTGGCTGGGCTTTTACATTAACACAGAAATTCGTACTAAGTTTATACTGTATGACGTATCATCCAGTAATATTCTATACCTATTCCTTAGCTATCCCAGCTTAACCTCAGCAGCAGGTTAAGGAGGCGATTCTGCCCCTCTACTTTGCTCTGGTGAGACCTCACCTGGAGCACTGCATCCAGCTCTGGAGCCCTCAGCACAAGAAGGACATGGACCTGTTGGAGCGGGTCCAGAGGAGGGCCACAAAAATGATCCAAGGGCTGGAGCACATCTCCTATGAGGACAGGCTGAGAGAGTTGGGGTTGTTCAGCCTGGAGAAGAGAAGGCTGTGGGGAGACTGTACTGCAGCCTTCCAGTACTTAAAGGGGGCCTATAGGAAAGATGGGGAAAATCTTTTTAGTAGCGCCAGCTGTGACAGGACAAGGGGTAACGCTTTTAAACTAAAACAGGGTAGGTTTAGACTGGATATAAGGAAGAAATTCTTTACAGTGAGGGTAGCGGAACACTGGAACGGGTTGCCCAGAGAGGTAGTGGAGGCCCCATCCCTGGAAACATTCAAGGCCAGGTTGGATGGGGCTCTGAGCAACCTGATCCAGTTGAAGGTGTCCCTGCTCACTGCAGGGGGGTCGGACTAGGTGACCTCTAAAAGTCCCTTCCAACCAAAAACATTCTATGATTAACCTTCTCCAACACTCATGGCCCACGCACTGCACCACTGCAGAAATTTGCAAGCAGAGCTCCAGCAAAGCTGGGATTTGGAAGTGTTCCTCAGAATATTCTCAGGGCAGAATCCCGTGTAGTAGAAAATAAGTTAACCAGCCCCCAGGTCACAACTCTCACTGCTATACTACTTTGCTACTAAGTCAGCCTGAGAGCTTTGCATATAGCACTGCATTCCCAGCAAGCTGAGAAGCTAGACCACTCAGGCGGCTTTCCAGTCAGTCAAACCCCCCCAGCAACTTTGATGACATACTAACTGCTGACAGGTCCCTTCAAGATGATCCATCCTTCACCACCAAGGAAAGAACCCAAACATATGACTACAGTTATAGTCAGCTCTAATTTGACACAGAGATGAGATTTTACTATCCCTCATCTTGGACTGTGCGATTAAAACTACCAGTGTTCACAAGAACACTGAACCAGTGGTCCTGTGCTTTTTAATCCCACCTATCAACTCATGGCAGTGGGAATTGCCAGGACTTTCCTACTGCCTAGAAGCCTAAGTCTTTGCTGACTCATTCCTAGATTCCCAAATCTTTGCTCCTTTCAAATGGACTGCCTTGTGGCTGTCTCCTTCACTTTTACAAATATGCAAGCACTTATCTGAGCAGGTCTTGTGCAGCTTGAAATTGGCTCCCGCAGCAAAACTGTACACAGACAGAAATCCTGGAATATCTTTGCATCAGTGAGGCTTATTTATGCTTGAAACTTGCTGCATGAAGGCTACCAAGAGCACTGAATTCTGAACTAGTCTGTTCCCGATGTAAGAGAGGAGGAGGGTCACTGACTCACAGTTCACAGCAGATCTCATTTTGATACAAACAGCAGGCAACATTTGGTGCAAGTTGCATCTACACCAAGTTCCCAAGCCTCTAGAACCTAGCAGAACCAGTCTTAGGCATAAGCAAGCTAAACCACTAGACAGCACAGCTAATAAAAAAAAAAAAATCCTTATACATAGTAATTAGCAACAATATTGGTATGTTTTGTGAATAGGAGTAGTCAAACTGGGATAAGAAAACTGTTTAAGACCAGCAGAAATCCTGTAGTTCACTCACTTGCCAGGATGCATCCACTTTCTGCAAAACCTTATACTGTCTATTTAAGAAGATATAAAGAATAAAAAGTTGATCTGTAGTCACTTACGTATTGCATCATTTCTAGCTAAATCAAATGCCTCTGATTTTTCTTGAAATTTTATTTTGTTTACAGTTCTGGCTGTTAGATATTCAAGTAACATTTAACATTTTTAACAGTTTGCTTAGGAAAAATAAATAGCAAGTTAAAAAAGTGAATTTTGAATCTGAAATTTAAGTACCATACTAGAGTGGGAAACTGTAGTAATTCATCGAGACTTAAGGCTCTGTTTTGCCTAGGGGTAGGGGCAGAGAACACCTATAGTGCTTTCTTTATAGATAAACAGCCTTAAGTATTCTTAGCGAGGCCTTTTTATTGTTGAATTCTCAACTACCCAGATACATGGGTTACTGCTCCTTTTAGTGTGGAATCTCCTCAAAGGTCTGTTTATTTCTCTTTCTTATGTAGCTACACATTAACAGTTAGTTCACCTTCAGTCTGTTCTAGAAGGGCTGAAAGTCAAACATCTTCTGCACAAACACAGAAATGCTACACTACTATAACATGTCATTTGGCATAAAGTCACAGTTCCACTTCCAGTGAGTGTTTATACAGGCAGACAGAAATTCTGCTATGAAATGAAAGCGTGCTGGGAAGCAAGCTAATCTGTTCCCACTGTACCCCAGTTCTAAGACACAGAACTGTAGTTCTTTGAATTTCACAACCATGGAAGTCCTGGATAGAGGAAGTAAAGTTCCCTTTTCCTTCTTGATTCCTGCCCGACGATAGCAGCAGCAGAAAGAAGCTGGATTTTTTTTGTTTTGTTTTTGTTACCTCTTCATACACCTCTCTGACGGCTGCTCCCCCTGGCTCTTCTTCTGGTTCCATTCCTCCACCCGGTACAATCCACTGATCTGGGTATCGGCTACTGCTTACCAACAGCACCTATAAATAATTGCAGATGACTGTTAAATATAGCTCACAAGTCAGGAATCTTGGTACTATCTACTTTTTCAGCAATGCACTTATTTGCCTAGCCAAATGAAACATAATAGGCAACCAGGAGTTGTAAGTAGTTAAAAAAAAAAAAAAAAAAAAAAAAGGTGAAATTATTAACAACCAGTCTTTTTAATACAACCAACTCAAGACAATGTCATTGTAATGTCCTTGCACAAACGCTTTCATCAGATGCTTAGGCACAGTGTGAAAAATACACAATTCAGTATACACAGGAACAAAGATGTACAACAAAAATTATGCTCTCCAATACCGAGTAAATCTTACGGCCATATAGATGGTAAAGCGTGAAAATTAAGACATTTTCATCACACAGAAGTTAAGCTAATTCTTCTGAAATGGCATCTTTTGGCTAAAAAAATGGACTTAGGAAAATATTTCTAATTTTTAGTCTTAGACAAGCTTCTTTTCAGTTACTGAAGTGTTATGTTAGCATGGCATGATTACAATATTGCATAACTAAATTTCACTGGTCCTTATTCAGTTTGGTTTCTTTTCACATTTCTGTAAGAGGAAAAACTGCAACACATCAAATTTCGAAGTCATTCAAAATCCAGTAATAATTTTTTCCAAGACACTTTAATGTCACTTGACTCTGTAACCCAGTCATATCACTGATATACACTAATTTAAAACCCACTGTCTTTAGCACCTGTTCTTCGTAATATTCAGAGCTGAGAAGATTTTAGCCACCTGTCCAGGATGCTTCATATTTGGAGTAATTTGCAGTACAAGTTGATGAAAGTAAGACCTTGATTCAGGACCACATGGAAATAACAGTTTAATTTGCATTTGAGACATGTCCCGATTAGCAAGGCATACTCAGTCATCTGTGTAGTAACACGCTTCATATTCTAGGCAATACTTAACATAAGCCCTACCCTGAAGTCAAAGGACAACTGCAGGGGGCAAAGGGACAGGGTCAGTGCTCGAATCTTTAAAAGCAATTAAAAGACTAGTGACAAGAACCTCAGTCTAAAGGTTAAAGTGTTGACGGGTGCCAGATGACTGAAGTGACAGTCCAGTCTTCACCAAATAACTAACTTTATGGTCTTTAAACTCATCTTCTGCTGGATTAAGTAGGAAAACTATTCCCTGATGAGGGCAACAGGGAAGTGCTTATCACTTACACTAATGTCCCTTTGGCACTCACGGAAATACGGCGTAGGTTCGCCTACAGGACTGGGGGGTGTAATGAAGATGACTGCAAACCTTTGTAAATGCAACAGTGCGTATATGCATACTGAGGTGCACCTAGAAGAGCCTTATCTGACACATATTTTCTTGTTGTAATGTTTATTTTCTTTGTAGTTGAGATTTGTTCTATTCTGAAGGGTTTTCCACTGTACTAATTTCTGCCAAATTTTTCCTACGCTAAATAAGGGACACAGTGGAGACCTCATTTAGTACAGAATCATTCTTAGCATCTGATCTAAATGTTCACATTTTCAGTCAACTTAAATATTTTATTCAGCTATCTCAAACCTAGGAATAGTCAGCAAAGGCAACGAAATTAAACACAAATGCATCTCAACTTGATCTTACAACCGAAGGTTTTAGTTTCCTAGGATCCTTTGATATTAACAAAAGATTCCCAGAGGGTACACAGCTTTACTAAATGTAGTTTTAGAAAAAGTTTTTGAACACGTAGGTGGAGCATCTTTATCACTACAAAGAACCACTGTGTCGGCAATGCTTAAAGAGCAGTTGTAAAAATCAAGTTATCAATTCACTTGTGGGATCCCAGACATAAGCATTACGCATTATTTTCTGCTGATGAAACTAGCAGTCATGTGGAAGCTAGCAACAACAACGAACAAAAGGATGATTATATCACATTAAATCATTCCCAGCTTGGTAGAATGGTTTTAATCAGCATTCATTGTTTAGTTAAAGGCTAAACATAAAATTCTTAATTACTACTAAGGGATAAATCAGGTTGCTGGTTCTGGCAGTGTAGCATAAAGCCAGGAATTTTTTATGCCTTTATATATAGTAGTCGACTACTGCTAACCTGATCAATAGTCTATTGAGCCGGGTATGTACATCTATTAGCTTTAAATTACCCTTTTTTAAAAGCAGAAACAAATACATCTAGCAAGTAATCAACATTAAAATACATCAGCTCTGGTACATAGGCTTTACAGCTACACATAGAACAAACTCCCAAGTGTTACAGCCTGGGAGTTCATTCTGGCAACTATCCAGGTCTCCACTAACCCTGGAACTGAAGCACTTTCTCAAGCATCTTTCCTTCTATGCTTTATTCTCCTGTGATCCCATTCCTTCTACAGTCTGAATGCAAGGGACCACACTAACGTATATCCCTAAGACCTTCAGACGCACAATTTTTTCCACCTGCTAACATTAACATTTGAGGCTACTAGGGCATGAGGCATGCCTCCATGCTGGGGTATGCTAGCAAAAATATACTTAGCGGTAATCGATATCTACAGAAGTCGAGAGCTGATAGCTAGTAATTACAAGGTTGTGTGGTAAGGCTGAAAAGCACTCCACACAGATTCTTTCAGTTAGGGTAGCAAGTGATCTTGCACTCACACATTTTTGGTTTTGGTGTGTTGTTTTTTATACCATGTAGTGGATGTAGTTTTCAGGTGTTTCCATCTGTAAGTGGCCAGAAGACACATCCCACAGTACCTGAATGACTAGGCTGTAAATATAAAGATCACTTAAAAATGAAGACGCCAAAAAGCTGTGGCTGGTTGACAGTGCACTCACATGCCAAAAGAGGTGCAAGATCAGCAACAAAAAGCCAGCAATTCATCTTCCCTTAATATAAGCAAACCAGGACAACAGAGATCTAGGTCACCTGAACATCCAGGCTTTCCTGAGGAGGTTCATCTTCACACAGATTACAGTAGTCTACTGAAAAACAAGACTGCAGAATCTCACACACCTACATTTTTTTCTGGCCGATGCACACCAGATTTTACATCATAACCTCAAGTATTTCCTATGCAGAGAAATCTGTATCCCATATCTCTGAATGCAGAGAAAGGAATGAGATTTCTTGTGTCCTATTACTTGCTGGTGATCGCCGCCTTTCCCATGTCTCTGAAAGAGCCTTACCGTTGATTACTCTTGTTCAAAAGCTTTCCAAAGTAGAGAGTAATGGCATCAAATCTGCTTGCCTAGTTATACTGTTAAGTTTAACTTACTCCAAAAACTAAGGTAAAGCTATTATTTTCCATAATACTGCCACGTGAGGAAGTAAAACGGCAAAATTCAGCTAAGGGAGAAAAAGAAAAATTCTTCCACTGAGTCTTACTAGCCAAGTTTTTACCTTGTTTTCAAGTCCAGGAATAGCAATGACCTTTGAGTGCATTGAGGAGCAGAAAGTGCTAGCCAGCCTACTTGTAATAAGCACCTATCGATATGCTTAACCAAGATATGGTTAACCAAAAAGCCAAAGGTAATTACAGACCATGTGGCATCATGGGACTTGCTCACTATAAATGCTAATCCTGAAGACAAACAACTGAAAATTTCTAGAGAAAGATGCCAAGTTTTGACCTGTTTAGTGTTCTCAAGCCAAAAGAAACTTGTGAAACAGTTAGCAGCCATATATTCCAGAAGACTAAAATGGCAACAGCTCAGAGTAATACAAATTACAACCAAACACTATTCCTTTTTTTTTTTCATATCAAGCACACAAAGAGGTGGAAAATTACTTAAGGTTATACAAAATATCATTGCTTTCTATCTTCCTTAACTGTAGGGCATTATAGCTTACAAAAAAAATTGTATTAAAAATGAGCTTAAATAAAAAAAAAGAAAGCAGCAAAGTGTGGTAGTTTTGGCTGGGATCATTTTCTTCATAGTAGCTGGTACGGGGCTGTGTTTTGGGTTTGTGCTGGAAACAGGGCTGATAACCCAGGGATGGTTTCGCTGCTGCTGAGCAGGGCTGACACAGAGCCAGGGACTTTGCTGCTCGTCACCCCACCCCACCAGCGAGGAGGCTGGGGCGGCC